AAAGTTTTTTGGCACACCATTCATTAAATAAACTCACTAAAGATTTCCAACTTAAACAATAGAAATCAAAACATGTAAGGACCCATTCACAAAAAAAGAAAAAAATATCCACAATCAGGACAACACAGGTTGATTTACAAAACTGTTCTTTAACTCTCCAAATGTTTCTAATGTATGCTCAATAGTGGACTTTGTTGTTGAAAGTCCAGGCTGCCATGCTTTTTTTTTTTTTTTTTTTTTTTTATTTAACATCAGCTGCTCATAGATATGTTTTCTTTTGGTTATTATGTGTATACATGTTTAAAAATTGGTAAATTTTGTCAAAACTACAATGAGGTACCACTTTATACCCATAAGAATGGCTATTATAAAAAAAAAACAAGAGGGGTGCCTGGGTGGTTTGGTTGAGCAGCTGACTTCTGCTCAGGTCATGATCCCATGGCTTGTGAGTTCGAGCCCTGCATGGGGCTCTGTGCTGACAGCTCAGAGCCTGGAGTCTGCTTCAGATTCTGTGTCTCCCTCTATCTCTGCTCCTCCCCTGCGCGCGCTGTCTCTCTCTCAAAAATAAATAAACATTGAAAGAAATTTAAAAACTAGAAACAAATGCTGGTGAGGATATAGAGAAATTGGAACCCTTGTACATTGCTGGTGGGAACATAAAATGGTGCAGCTTCTGTGGAAAACAGTATGGCAGTTCCTTAAACACAGAATGCCCCTATTATCCAGCAATTTCACTTCCAGATATATACACAAAAGAATTGAAAGAAAGGAATCAAACATATTTGTATACCAAGGTTGACAGCAACATTATTCACAATAGCCCAAAAGTAGAAATAACCTAAATGTCCACTGAGGGATGAATGGATAAATAAAATGTATATACATACAATAGAATATAATTTAGCCTTAAAAAGGAATGAAGTTCTGGTACATGCTACAACATGGATGAACCTTGAGGACTTTATGCTAAGTGAAATCAGATAGACATAAAATGATAAATATTGTATGACTCCATAAATTTATAGAGGCAGAAAGCAGAACAGTGATTACCAGGGGCTATGGGCAGGGAGCAATGAG